CACCAAGTGCAGCTCGCGCTACGAGCCCGCTTGCCTAAGCATAAATATAGATAATTACAAAAAAAAAGTATATGCTTGCCGCAACCTCTACTGTACAGCCATACAAAACATACAAAAATTCATTTTTGATTTTCTATTTCTATGTAGATCTAATTATGTTATAGAAGATTCTAATGTTTTCAAAAAGACAATTGCAATAAAATTATGGCTTAAATTGGTGGGTAGTTTAAATTGGTTTATTTATTTGATTTGATAAGCGATACCCACATTATAATAATTGAGCCTTATTTTGGAATTCTAAGTGAGTAGAACTATCGTTCAGTTTAAATAAACTTTTTTTTTTTTTAAACTGATTTACGCGACTATTTAATTATATACACTATTCAGGAAGTTACATCTCAAATTTTGTGACTCTAGCTCTTATAACTTACGAAATTTGCTCAAAAAGCAGGTTCTGCTTGTTACATACATTTGCACAAATGCATTACTCCCTTTTTATCCATTTTTAATGGGTTCAGGGTATAAATACTCGTCCCACTACTACTCCAACTAATCGATTTGCCACGCTGGTAACCCACACATCCGCTTTGGCTTCCACAGCCACGAAAAACTCCACTGGAATAAGACAATCTGCTTACAGCTCCAGCAATAAAAACGGCCCCCAATAGTCTTAACTGGTATTGAGAATCTAAATAACCTCAAGACCGCCATTGGCGTAGTAGTGGATATTATATCAATGATAAAGTGCTTGGCTCTAATATGGGTAAAACTATACGTCATCAAACTAAGGACGTATCCAAGTAAAGGGCTATAGTTAGGAAACTGGATGAACTCAAAATTGAGTCGCACGGATAAGCCCAATAGGTTGGTGGTGCGGGGATTACAATATTCCACGTTGTACTATCGGATAAAAGAAGAGATGCTAAGGCTGAAGCATAACGTATAACACACCCACAACTCATAAACAACAACAACAACACAAAAACAAGCACATATATAACATAAAAGTTCAAATAGGCAAAAGACGCTGACAGAGCCATGATGCAGGATGCAGCAACGATGTGATGTGTTTACCACACACCAAAATCATCCTGCCAAATTACAAACACCACCTTGAGAAACCGAAAACAGTAGGTAGCAACAACAAGAAATGTCCAAAATATGTCATGCACACCACCAAGGTATTTTTCTGGCCAGTCATGTTGTCCACGATTTTTATACCGGCATTAGCAGTGGGGCGACCGCAGTATCAGCCCCAAAATCACACTGCTCTCGCGGAGCATAAGTTCTGGCGACAGTTTCAACCACATTGTACTCCTATGGCTTTAGAGGAAGTCCATCCTGTTATTCAGACAACACTGTGTACCTTGTGACTACAAAAATCCAGCAAGCAGCTTAACAGTCGTCTCCAGCATCACAACGCCACCTAGTTCAACTCTCGATTGTCAGAATGGAGAGACGAGGGATTTTATCTGTCCTAAAATATAACAGCGCAGGCGATTCATTCGCACCCGCAAGCCCGAAGACAACGCATTGTGGAAGCACACTTGCCGCCGAATAAAGGAGCTGTGGACTATACCAGCGATTTCGATGTCTCTTTTGAAAGATTCTAGGTCCCTTAAGCACCAGCCACTGCAGCGGTGCCAACGACTCGATAATACTGTCAATCAGACGAGCAGCATGCAATAAATTTCACTGACCACCCGGAGAATAGGATCCATCTATTTGACATTGCCACTGGCGACGAAATTTTGGATACTGAGCTAGTTTTGCACTCCCCGCTGCAGATGGACTAGCCGATAAGACCTATAAAAGTAGAAAAGGTAAGCGACGTGGTCAAACATCTGCCAGGCACTAAACATTTGTCACAACACCTGGAAGGCTCTGCCAAAGCAAGCAATCCTTCTTATTGTATTCCGGTCAGTTGATGGCTTGCGAGGATTTAGATGTTCCATAAGCCTGCCAAACCGGAGGATAACCCTGTGTCATACCGACCAATCAGACTGGTTCCTTCGCACTCGAATGTTTTTGAGAGGCTGGTGTTGACACAGCTTGTTGACCGGACTATCAATTTGGCTTTTGTTAAGGAAAACGCCTTTGAACAGATTCACAGGGTAGTAAATCATATCCTTAAAGCATACGAAAGACTATTCTAACGGATATTTTGTAGACGCGCAACAGACGTCTGATGGCGTCTGGTATAAGGGCTATTCGCCAAACAGAAAACTACCAGCCCCTTCCACACCAAGGTAAAGTATCTGAGCGTTATCATGGATACCTGCAGCTACAAAATGTTTCGCCGAAACTGTGCAATAGAAGTTCGAGACTTATATCATTAACTGCTGACTGGTTCGAGATTGGGGAAGAGCTTCTATAGAACGTTAATACCTAGTATTTAGAACAGTTAAGACCTAAAAGGTAAACTTGATATACACAAGTGTAAAAGGTATCAGTGTCGGCTTGAAATAGATTACAAAAAGCCATATCCTTTAATAGAAGGTTGTGCCACATCACGGTCAGGTTATTTGTAACAGATCTATGCTTCGGGAACTATTCTTGGAACAGATTTTGATAACTTTTAAGACCAGAGAGCCCTATCAGACTTGGGTTGGTAAAAGAATTTAATGGAATGGCAGTGTCTGCACAATTGTACAATTCGGACCAGTCAATTTGCAGAATAAGATCGTTAAGCATATAGAAAACAGCCTTACGAAAAAAGCGGATTTTATCCGGTGCTGAATGAATCCAACTCAAAGCCATATGAAGAGATCTGTCAAGGCTAAATCGTTTGCAGATGACCAATCAACGTCAGGGTGATTGAAGTCGTAAAAAACAGCCGAGAGCTAAAAGAGAGCTCAGACAGTTGGGACTTTTAGGCTGCACATCCAGGCCACAGCCTCCAACTGCAAGTGCCTCGCTTAAACTGGATGCTGTGCAATAGATCAAAGTTCCCGCTGCCGTGTAAGAGGGCAGCATGCGACGCTGTCATCGTGCCCACCTGAAGGTACGGAATTTAGATCTATGAATTGGCTGCTAGGTGGAACCGGAAACGGGTACCGGCAGTTCAGAATAAAGTTCTCTTATTTTTTGAACTAGAGCGAATGAACTACTACTACTGATAAGATCCTGTAAAAATCAATTCAAAACTATTTTGTATACGACCTCATTCGGTGGCTGAAAAATCGAAGAGGTTGATTATTAATAATAAACTTGGCGGGAAGCATGGTTTAAGCTCTTATTGGCCTGCGAACTAAATTTGGTGACCCAAGATTTGAAACCAAAAATTTTCCGCTAAGCAAGGTTTAAATCAAAAACTATCTATGGACAGAAAATTGCGTAGTAAAACGTGTACTTTTCAAGGAAAGTATCGTCAGAAAACATTGCATCGAAGATATGGCTCAAAAGCTTCAAATTTTTGATGCAAAACTACCAGAGAAGTTGATCATTTCCAAAATTATCAACGTTTCGCCAAAAAGAGTTAGACTGTTTTTTGAGGTAAACAAGCTAATTTTCAATAAAACTGCTCTAGTCGTGAACGCCCAACTAGGAGATATCCTGAACCTTCTTTTTCCATAACCATAAGCAGCTCGCTGCAAAAGCTGAAGCCTACCGGCCTCAATCGAAATTGGGAACGACTTCAAACAAATTACCACCTAAAAACTTTATCTGTTTATACTGCTCTAGAGGCAACATGTCACATTTCGTGAGTATAGGTTTTAAAACCTACGAAATCGCCTGCAATAAACACGGATTCTGTATCGATTGCATTAAAACGGTGGGTGTTATCGATAATTTTAAATAAAATCGATTGTACGGGCATTAGAAGGTGATTAGTTCCATAAAGAATGTTTCAAGTGTCTAAAGATAGGACCTTTTAAGCGCGACTGGGTGGAAAAGACAGAAAGAAGATAAAGTCTGTCTGTAGTAGAACACAGACATCGAAATGATTGACATTTGTCATTAATGTTCTTATAAAATTATTGTATCAGGGTATCCTTAAGCTCTAATTTGAATAACCAATAAGATGTGGTGAGTATCACTGTTGATTCCGGTTATTAAGAATACTGTAAAAGCTCTCTCTTTCTCAAGACGAGTCTCCGCCTAGTAAATGGTGAATAAGTATGTCCTAATTCATAATGATTGGAGAGAAAATGTCCTCCCAAGAAGGGTAGTCGCCTAAAAGGAGTGTCCGTTAAGATACTTATTAGTGTATTAGGAAATTTAGAGAGCCGAGCTTCAATTATAAGAATTGTAGATGCCTCCTTCAATACACACATATACAAAAATACTAATAAATTGTAGACCGCGTGTAGCGTTGTGTACGATGCGGCTGTAAGTCTTCTCTTTGCCCCACAATTTTAGGAATCAAATTTTTAGGTATTTACTTTCCGATCTTTTTGAAACTCCCGAGGCAAAAAATTGGCATCCAAATGAGATTAAATACCGAATATATTCATAAATTTTCGATTTACAATTTTGTGTACAGAGCCACCAAAAAAATAAAATACGTTTCCATCAATTAAGAGGCTACATAGAAAATATTAGTTTCTCTAGCTCTAATCAGCTCCGTGATAAGCTAAAAAAGTTTAGATATAAGCAACGAGAAAGTTGTCTAGGATAAAATACAAATTGCACCGTCAATAAGATATCTTCATTTAAGATTTCACGTGTTTAACATTTATTGTCTCTGAGATCGACACGACCATACATATAGACAAACGGGCGGATAGGTGAACTGCCGGACAGCCAGATACACGGATAAGGTTGCATCGACTCGAATATTGATGCTGAACAATAATACCTTTTACTTGCACAAAACCAATGCATCCTTTCTTACTAATGTGCTCGGTTATAAAACTTTAATAAAATTCCAGGTGAAACTTTTCCACTTAAAATTCAAGATGATATAAAGATTACCCTCGCCGTTGACTTCATCAAGGCAAATTGAAGAAGAAGAGAAGATTCAACATTTAAACCAAGGGTAAAAAAAGTGTACTTACTGTTATATTTAGGAAATCCAGTAGTTGATAGATCCAATTATGAATTGAGAGTACAGGTTTATGCAATAGATTGACTCCGTTTATTCCAAACGCAAGCTTTATTCTCTGTAAAATAAAAGCTTTATTGTTTTTTTTTTCTTCAAAAAATTTAATGTTTCCCGTTTTTCATCATAAATAGACTTATAGTTTAAAAAGAAAAACGAGAAACGGCAATGTTTATGATTAAAAATATATGTTACAATATGCATGCATAAATACACTACAGATCATGTAACATTCGTTTATAAGAACGAATAAACAGAAAAAGCTGGATAAGGCAACAAATATCAATACCTGACAATCGGTTTCGATTAATTTCAACACGAATTGCGGCCAAATAAACTATAAGATACGTCGGCCGTACACGGAAAGTAAAAGTCCCCAATGTTATTGCATTTAGTAAGACTCATAACAAAAGAAACGAGAAGAAGCACAGTTTGCCTTGCTTTCCTAGTTTGTTTAAGATATCTTGTAAAAAAAAGTGTTTCATAAAACTTTTCTACCAATCGTTTCTATTACAGCTATATGATTTAGTGTTCCGATGCAAATAAGATTTTCTGTAAATGTAGGGAGTATAGTAAAACCTCTAAATACCGGGCTTGCTCAAGATTTCTTGAAAAACAAAAAAATTTCCATACAACAACTTCATTTTCGATCGGTTCTATGGCAGCTACATGATATCCTGGTCCGATGTAAACAATATTTTGCATTAATGTGGGGAGCATAGTGAAACTTATAAATGGCGAGATTGGTCAAGATATCTTGATAAACAAATATTTTTTCATATAGCGTGTATATGCCGCTGACTACTCTACGGAAATACTTCACACAATTCGATTAAGATTCCACAGCACATCATCGTCGTCAACAGGCCTGCTGACATCGTTGGATTTTACTAAAGTAGTGAGAACTGTTTAAGCAAATAAAGAGGTAAGAATACAATCAAATATTATCAAGTGCATACCCTACGTATATTATACATATTATTTGAATCGCGGTTATAGTCAGCGGGTGTACCCCTAATCAGCCTTTGCAATTGCAATCATTCACACCAGCTGTAATTTGAATTAACATTATTTTTGAAGTGTTATCTCGCTCATGTATGCTTTTGTCCAGATTTTGTTTAGTTTTATATCTCACCGTTATTCTTTTAACGTCATGTATAATGAAGCACTATCATTATGCGAAATACGCCCAGCGTAGCCGTCGTGATCGTTACAAAACTAAAACTATATGCTAGGACTAAATACTTGCTAAATAGTTAAGAATAGACGATCCAATGCTATGAATTCTACTTCCCACTCAACCGACCGAGGGGCACAGTCGTGAAACGTACGACACGAGTCGCGAAGTACTAACTAAGACTTTATGCTAAGACTATCTACTTGCTAAATAATTTGGAGTAATTTGGAATTTGGGTATAATTACGTGTTAGTCTAGTGGCATGCTTCCGAATTGGTCGTATGTAGTGAACGGATCGTCAAACTCCTTTGACAATCGCTTGATGAAACTCAGAACAATTCTGGCCGTATTGACCACGGTCATAGCATGGGAGTCAAGTATAAGTTTATGATCAAATATGACACCTGGATCATTGACCAAGACTGAAAGGTATTATTGTCGGCTTGTAAAAGGTTACATGGTGTCAAATCTTTATATGCAAGGCATAACTTTACATCATCAGCATGCTTTAGTATTCGAGAGTGAGACAGTATCGGGGGGAAATCATTGATGAAAAGAGAAAAGCGTAACGGGCCAGGATAGCTACCTTGGGGAACATCAGAAGTCACCTGAATACACTTAAAAACGAATTTTTGTAAACCTTTTGGGTTCTGTTACGCAAATTCTCTGAGATCCAGCTCAGAAGATTGGCTGGGAACAGATTCGAAAGCCTTACGGAAATCAGTAGAGATGACGTGAATCTGCATTCTTTTCTTAAAACCATTGCTAGTAAAGTAAACTAAAAAACGATAGTGTTTTAGATATACGCTTCACGAGCCAGTGCTGGGATGTTGAAATAATAAAGCTACATAAATGTTGCAGTTGAGATGTTATGATTCTCTCCAAAGCTTTAGGTATAGCGAATAGTTCCCCTGAGAATCAAATAGTAGTAAATAGTTATCAAAAGGAGTGCAGATACCAAAGAGCGAGTACAGGGTATCATAAAATAGTTTAATGGAAACATCCATGGCTGTATAATTGTACACCAATCGACTTACAGAATAAAATAATTGACACGAACACATATTTTCAATCTCTATATATGTCGAAAGAGTCCAACACGAAGATCCGATTAAGAGATCTATCGACATCTAACGACATCTCATGTAGACCATCAATCAACTAATTTTGACATAGAGGGCAACAAAAAGTTTGGATCCATTGGCGATGACAAATCAGCATCTGGAAAATTAAAGTCGCCAAGAACGACTAAGAGGTCTATTTCAGAAAGTAAGGAGGGGATAGTTTTAAAAGCGTTAAGATGGCTTTGGTAAATGGACATGTTAGATAGTGGGGTACTATATGAACATGAAATAAAGACACAGAAACTTCCAAAAACAACTCTTACAGCCACCAACTCGATCTCACTCATCAGCTATGAGTACCCATCTCCGATACGGAAAGCTCGGAAAGCATCTATAAGTAGAAGTAAATATTGAGGAATCTGACATGTCCGGTTTTATCCAGGTCTCAGTGAAAGCGAAGGAGTCCGATTATTAATTTTGCCCTTGTATTCTTTAAATATTAAATGTTCTTTCAAAACTCTTTACAGCAGATGTTTTTAAATATTTCAGGTGGAACATTTATTTTAAAGGACATAATATCCCTCTCATGGGCATATCCCTCCCACGCATAACGTGGGGCTTGAATTTTTGCCAATATAAAGGCTTTTACATCATCCGATGCGAAATGAGGGGCAAGCCTGGAAATACAAATATGTTTCTTCGGTGGAAGGCCTATTAGAGGCTTAGTCCCCACAGGTGTAACAGTACGAACACTATCAGCTGTAAATCTCTAAAACAGCCGGTAGTCCGGACGATTAGTCTTCGAGCGGCCGCTGTAAACTTAATTATTGCTGTAGCTCTGTAGGAACTTCTTCGACAACGGACAACTCGGATAAAACGAGCAGCAATCAGACCCCTAAAACCAGCATTTCGCTATCAATCTGACATCACGAGTGCCAACTATCGAAATAATAGTGTAACCCGCGCATTTTGAATGCACGACATTATCATATAGCCAACATGGCATTCTTGATTGACTTGCCATAATTTGGCAAGCTTTTTTGAAGCAGACAATTTTATGATTTAATTTTTTGAGCTTATACTGTAACGATACAGCCAAATGTAAGAAATGTTAGAAACAATTAAGAGCGTACACAAGACCAACGCGCAGCAAGTGTAAGAAGAGTATGAAGTTTTAAGTTATTAGAAGCGTACACAACACCAACAAGCGGCGGAATAAAGAGATAGATCACAGCACAAGTTAAAAAAAAGGAACGAGAGCGCGAAAGTGTTCTATTTATAGATTACCGCTTGTCCACGAGATCTTGCATATAATGAGAGGCGATGTGCAGTTAAACATAAACAACAACGAGCAGCTTACCTATAGAGCTGCGCACAAACAAGAATACACAAAAATCAAGTTTAGATAATGACAATATTAATATGCTTAAATGCACAGGCCACAAGCATGCACTCGCGATAAAACAAAAATAAAGCAAAAGATTTAATCAATATTTTTTAAATAGATGTTATAACGCCGGGGTTTTATTAAAATAAAAATAAAAATGGAGCATACAAAACATGTTCGCTCAAAATATGAGCTTGATGATGATTCACGTGCTTTTTTTTTTTAAATTCTTTAATAATAATAATTTATAATTTAAATTCCAATCGTATTATTTACCGTGATTTTTCATCACGACTCACTTTTTGTTATGAATGTGAGGTATGAGGCGATCTTGTGAAGATCGGTCGTTTAACGGTAGTTGCAGGCTCGAGATTAAGAAATTTGCCAAAAACAGAATAAATCATATATATAATGTTGGCTATGTGGCTACGTTGTGCATTTAAAATGCGTGGGTTACACAGACATAATAGGTGATGCTATCGCCCTTCGTTCATACAGCAGACATAAATTCTTGGGTACTTAGTTCAATAGACTAACGCTTTTAGGTGAGTCTCTACTGCCTGTAACTTGCTGTTGCCAAATGGCAGCCTCCGTCTGCAAGTTAGCAGTTTCCAACTCAGACACATGTTTGTAGCTGTAGTTCAAACAGAGTCGGACTGTGGAGCAATATATGAACATGAAATAAAAAGAAACAACTACCAAATTACACATTTAGATCCACAAACTCCATCTTCGAAATGCTCACTGCGTTCTGCCACTAACCAAACAACATATAGATAGGACATGCAGAACAACCAGAGTGGACACACAAAAATCGGTGACATCTGGTCCACAATCGGGAGCAAGAGAGTAAGATATACATATGATGTGTTTTTATTCGCTTACACTACAGGAAACTGCTTTGGCTTACTCTCGTTCATATGATTTGTGCGATAGAACGGCATCGCTGTTTTTTGTATCTCGCTCCCACTTACTCTCAGTGCTTTCTCTTTATGTTTAGGGATCGTCTAAATGTGTGTGTATGTAAACGCACAAGCAAAAATGCGCAGAAATTTAATTTTTCTCAAATGTCGGAGAAATGCCTCCCTTTGCTGTCCCTTTTGAAGGGACGAGTAATATTAAATAATATAAGGGTTTGCCACGTCCATGCGAAATTCTTTCATTTTAGCTCGTCATTGTTGATACGGGTACCTAAGCGTTGGCATGTGTGCATTTAAAAGTTTTTGGACTTGCTATTCACGCGTACTTGCATATTTTTGAACAGAAGCATTTATGCCTGCCTGCCTGTCCGATGCAAAATTGACAAGATTTTGGGATTTCTGATTTTCGAGCTCTACACACACACAGACGCAAATGTGTGTAAATGGGCAAATCATGGGCGCAAAAGAACATTTCATTATGGGCACGCGTCTGACGCGCGCCCTTCTATTTAA